TGGAGCATATGGTAGCTTCCTCAGTGTCTCACATTGATGAGCAGAACAACAGTCTGAGTTAGGGGAGCATTTCGATTTAACCCCTGTGTAATGCAGAGCTCTTGAAGGCAGCGGTGTGGCTGGGCAAAGGATCCTCACTTCCCGACTGCGAGATCTCCCCAAGGTTACCTCAACGCCCCTGGTTCACACGTGGGTCATTTCCAAGTGAAGGACAACGTTCGGAGGCAAACGGCTTAAACTAGAGAATCACCACTTTCAACAGCAGGGTGAAGCAGGGAAGCGTTTGAGGAAGATTGTAAGAAAGGTCAGAAATCAGAGAAGCCATTCAGCCCATCTATCCAGCCTGCTTGGTACCTAGTGTCTAATTGATCGAGGATCTTGTCTAGCTGTTTCTAGAAAGAAAGCAGGGTATGGGCTTGGTAGCTTGTTCCATACTCCCAAAACCATTGAGGTAAAGAAGTGTCTCCTGTTCTCGTTTCTAAATGCACTTCCGAAACGTTTCCACTTGTGTCCTCTGGTTTGTGGTGCAAGAGAGTTGGGCTGACTTGAGGGCATAGGTATAGAAGATGATAGACAATATAGAAGATGCATTATCAATTCATTGTCACAATGCTTATGGTAACAAAGCTTTCCTTTTTTAAAAAGCAGAAATCAGCTTCAGTAAAAATGATTCCTGAGCAAGACAGAAAAGCATGGTGCTATTGACTTGCATTGCTGAGAAAATACAGACAACATTGCTTCACTGTTCCAGTGTTCGTCTCCTCTTCTTATTCATGCTGTCTTTTTGACATGCTGACCTCTTCTGGGAAGGCAGTGTAAGGTCACCCAGGCCAGCCTCATAGGAATTCCAAACACACACGTTTATATCTGTGTAAATTCAAACCAGTTTGAAAAGTATGTGGATTAAACGCTTCTGGTGGGGCACAGGAAGCTGTTTTGTTACAAGTCTCTTCTTCCAAAAGCTTATTCATTTAGTATTCCACGCGTCGCGTGCGCTATTAATCAAAGAGGAAGTGTGTCGCTTGCACAGCAGGAACTCAGCTTGGAAATCAAATCAGAGACTCGTCAGGCTTCTGCAGCAGAGCTGTGAAGGGTAATGCTAATGTTACGTTTTACATGTGCTCCAGGAGATCCATTTACTTCTGTTTTGTGCGTGTAGCGCAGCAAAAGCAGTGTTTGTGTCTCCTGCCTGATCACAAAGGCGCCGGAGAGTGGAGGTTGAAAGGAAGCAGGTGAAACAGTCCCAGCAGCAGTCCGGGGGCTGGCAGTGCGTTGCATCACCCGGGGAAAAGACAGCGAAGGATGTTTCTGAGCACTTACAGGGCGCGGCCCTGCACTGTGATTTGCAGAACGGAGAGCAGCAGTGGAAAGGATGGCAGGCACGGGTGACCAGAGGTGGAGTGGTCATTAAAAAGCACTTCATCTGTGAATATTGGAGTGACCCCGAGGACAGATAACACACCACCCATTCTCCAAGGTGGCTGGAGAACACGGCGGGTTATACTCCACACAGTGCTCCCGCTGTTAAGCCCTGGCCCTCTTTATAGATGGAGTATCTTCGGTCGTGTTGCTGTCTCCCGGCCTGTTTTGCGGCCGTGTTCGTGAACCGTTTTTCCTTCTGCCAGTCTGTGTTTCTAGCTCTACTTTCAGCAGAGGAGTGCGTCCTGGAGCCTTGCTCCGGCCATGCCTCACCACTCCACATTTCGTCCCAGTGATTTACTTGAGACATTGTCGATAAGATTTAATTTCATCTGCACTCTGTTGCCTTGCTTCATTGAGGTGTCTCAGACTCGAGATTGTTCTGATTTATGCCGGTATTAAAGTGAATATGAGTTTTTTTGCTTTGCATCAATGCATTTTTATTTTTTAATATGTTTTTAATCACGTCTCAGAGGCTGAATTTACCTCTGCTGCTTAATCAGGATTAAACAGCCCTAATGGTTACAAACTCAGGAACACTGAGTTTGTTTTCACTGAAAGATAACACAGATTTATGTTTCTTGCTCACAATGAATGTCTTATCTCTCCCAGCTCCAAAGCGCTGTTTGATGTTCTGTTGTTTTCTTCTTTTTTTATTTTTATCTTTGACATTTTTCTCTTTCCTCTCATACTACCATTTCCATTTATTTTACAAAGTAAAACTTCAGACTCTACATTTGATTTCTTTTTTAACACGCCCCGCTTTGAACTCGCCAGTCACGCGCTTCCCAGCCCACCACCACAGCCCCCCTCTGGAAACGCGCACTTTGCCAGGGCCACCCACCACTGAAACAAAGGACTGAGAACAGGAGGCACTCCTTTACATGAAGAGTAGTGGGGGTGTGGTGCAAGCGGCCAAGAGAGCAAGTCATTAGTCTCTAGGACCAGTCTTGATGGGGCCTGTAGGATCATTAAGCTGTTAAATAGCACATGAACAAGATGGGCTAAAAAACATCCTCTTATCTCTATCTTTTCATAAGATGTAGAGAAAGAGCCAATCAACACTCCAGTGGGCGCTCTGAAAATGTTGTGTCAGAGCCTTATGTTTTGGACAGACGAGTTTTCATTTAAATTATAAATCGCCTTTATCGATCATGCGGTAATCACCGGAGGAAGAAAAAACGGATCGCAGGAAAGCATGTGCAATTATTCCAGCACTTTATCATGTGAAGGGAGCTGTGAGATGAAAAGGTGCTCCTCTCTTCGCTTGCCCCTCTGCTAATGTATTCCTGACTAGGATCGACCCCGGTAATTGCCTCCTCAGTGATTCATTAAGATCCGACGCAGGGGCTGTTGCTTTGCCGGGGCAGCGTGCTTAAGAAGCATTCATTTTTTTTAATGAATTTAAGAAGCAGATCAGAGAGGATTAGGGAGCGGGGTCAGCCAGTAACCCAGAGCCTGCAAACTGTGAAGGTGCACTTCACAACTTGGCCAAAACGTTGCATACACCATCTCTGACATTCTTAGAATTTACAGAAAGGTGAAAAACTAAGGTTGGTTTCTTTTTCCACCTTGTGCAGTGCTGGCTTTTCTCATTTATTAAGGATTTTACAGGTGCTTAAGGAGGGTTCTCCCTGTAACTCTGCGCAGAATGATTTTCTGCCTTCATTAATCCTGGCACTCATTTCCACCCGTGACCCATGGTATCACTGATGATCTTGACTTGAGTGGGTCTCAGGATTTCTGAAGGCCTGTTGAACCTTAAGAGGGCCAATTGAACCCCTCTTCCCACGACGGTGATGACTGGAGAAGGCATAGAAATTTGCGGTGTCCCCACACTTCACCCCAGGTTCAGAATGGGGACCCCCTGCTTGAGGCCATTAACTCTTTCTTCCCCTTGCACTCTCCACAGCTGTGTAGGGACTTCATACATGGTTGACTGGCAGCTGAAGTTTCGCCCGTCGCCTGCGTATTGAGCGCAATGCAAATCATGTCGCGGAGCGAGCAAGGACTCACTGGGACTCACGGCATAGGAAACACGACGCCCGTCTGGTCTCTCATCGCAGATGTGGGCCTCATCCACTGCTGGACGTGCTGTTCTTGAGACTCCTGTCAAGCTGAAACCTGGGTCAGCCAGAGGAAAATCACACGCCTGAAAAAACAATGCGTGTTTGAGTACATTATGTGTGCACTGAATGATAAGCTGGACTGCAGAGGCTCCTTGACAGACCCATTAAAAACAAAAAATATCAGAGCTGACAGACTCATTTGGGGCATCCCTGAAAGCAGTTAAAAAGTCAGCTCCAGGCCCCAAGAAGGTTTGATTTGTGGTGTAGAAGCATTTTTATATTTTTATTCATTCTTGCGCACAACACAACGATAACAACACTAACCCCTGGCAACCTGCAAGTGCTGTCTGTAATACAGGGATTAGTTACCTTGAAAGAACCTTAATACCGTGGTTTAACACACAGCACACCCGGCATAGAATTGTATGTGTCTGATTCCCCGCTATCTAACTCCTAGTTTGCTGGGGATTTGTCTTACTGTCTCGCAATCAGTGTTTGCTCGCTAAGATTGATGCTTCTCAGATCCAACCCATCATGTTATCTTTACTGGTCTATCAGGTTATCTATATGTGTGAGCAATTCCATTTCTGGCTTCAAGTGTAATTATCTTTGGGCTGGCTGTTGCTGTGATGGGTGTTTAGGTTGTATGACCTCTGCCTAGTAAGGCAGTTTGGCCCATTCTGATGGCCCAGTTTCGGGGTTCCGCGAAAGCATTTGTGAACCCCCCTAGGTTTTAGAGGTCCATATTCTTGGATATTCTATTTGTGATTATCAGTGATACCTCCTGAACCGTGGCGCTGTCTCAGACGATCATAGATCATCATATCCCGTTTATCCTGAGGCTTAATTCAGACAGTGCCTAGGAGATGATAGCTATTATGGAGCATATGGTAGCTTCCTCAGTGTCTCACATTGATGAGCAGAACAACAGTCTGAGTTAGGGGAGCATTTCGATTTAACCCCTGTGTAATGCAGAGCTCTTGAAGGCAGCGGTGTGGCTGGGCAAAGGATCCTCACCTCCCGACTGCGAGATCTCCCCAAGGTTATTGATGACTAAAATTAGATCTTCAAAAATATCTTAATAAAGAAGAAAATAACCTGATTAAACATATAACACAAAGATATAAGATATATTTAGATGACTTTATTAACATGATGCTCCAGTAGTAATCCTTATGTGAATAGGTATATGAACCCTAGATTCAGTAACTGGTCGCAGCTCCTTGAGCATCAAAGACTTCAACTGTATGTCTCCTGAAGCTGTTTCTCAGTCTCTTGCATCGGCTTTTGGGAAACTTGCTACATTCTTCCTCACAGAACCGCCTAAGGGTGGTGACATTGGAGGGCTTCCTTGCAGGAAGACCTCGCTTCAGGTCCTGCCATGACATTCCTGTGGGGTTCAGGTCTGGACTTTGACTCGGCCGATCGGGCTCAACGCCAGGAGGGCTGCCCGTGTGTTCAGGGTCGCTGTCCTGCTGCACGAGCCACTTAAAGCGCAGCTTCAGCTGACGGATGGATGGCCGGAAGTCCTCCTCTGGAATTTACTCCGTTCGTGGTTCTGTCAACGGTGGGCGGGCGTCCAAGGTCACCCCAAACCCAATCACCCCCCCGCCGTGCTGGACGGTCGGGAGCAGGGTCTTCTGCTGGAAGGCGCTGCCTTGCCTTTGAAACAGTTAACATTCATGCGAAAATGTTTCTTCGTTTCAACCCCGAGCCACATGCAGGCTGCACAGCGCGCCGTGTCATAAATCCAGGAGTAAAGCAGAGGAGTTTGAGAGCATCCATGTGCGCACGGTGCAGGCAGCTCGCCTTAGTGCTCCTCAGAGGGTCCTAAATCAAGCCAATGCAATTCTGTAGCACACATCTTGTAAACGCCTGCTCTCAAACCGGGCAGCCTGCTTGTCAGAAACATGAATGCGCGCCGTGACGGAGGAGTAATATGACTTCCTAAAGTCAACGTAGTGACAGGACGTGAAAAAAAAGACACCATTCTTGGGTTGATAGCGTTTTCCTATTTTTAAAATACTTTGCATAACATGTGGGTTTTTTATTTACTGTATGAAGTGATGGTGGCACAGAGGCCCAGTGGTGGGCATTTCTGCCTCACAGCGCTGGGGCCCTGTGTGGAGCTTGTATGATCTCCCCATGTTCACGCAGGTTTCCTCCAGCTGCTTTAGTTCCTCTCCACAGTCCACAGTCCACAGTCCACAGTCCACAGAGAAAGACATACTGGTGGGTTCATTGCCTTCTGGGAATATTGGCCCGGGTGTGTGTCTACAGTATGTCAATTCAATTGAATTACAAGATGCTTTGTTGGCATGCCCGAGTACAATCGGTGTTGCCAAAGCAAACAAAAATAAAATGAAATAACATGAAACAAAAAACAAATCTACAGACATATTACAGGCATTTACAACAAGGACATATCATAAAATATTTACATAAACTGTAAACAAATGGGGCATTGTCGGGAGACAGGCTCACTGTTCCTCGGGCTGCGACAGGAGATCACATACTGGGCTGCCAGTTCAGCTGAGTTCCCTCCTCCCTCTCCCAGTAGGACTGGGGCCTGTTGTGTCTGTCTCTGTCCAGCCTGCGATGGACTGGTGTCCCGTCCAGGGTGAACTCTGCCTTGCTCCCATTGCTTGCCAGGATAGGCTCCGGCTCCCCTGAATTAGACAAAGCAGCTAGAAAATGGATGGACGGGTATTCAGTCTCTTTTAAAGTAGCCCTAAAAAGCAGAGAAGACTGCTGTTCTTGCTGTTCAGACTTGTCAGAAGTGGACAAAAGGAGAAAGGCTAGGTCTGTATGAAGGGGGCCTGGCGTGGGTCGTCATGCTGCGATGCCTGTCCAGCGTCCAGTGTGTCCACCCAGTCCCTTTTCTCTCCCCTTCCTGTCCCGCAGAGGCGTTCGACATGGTGCTGCGCCACGCCCGCAACTACACGGCGCTGATGTTCCACGGGCAGTTCCGCGGGCTGGCCGCCGCCGCCGCCGCCCCCGTGGCCGAGCTCTTCGCCGACATCTCGCTCTACATCCTGGGCTCGGACGGCAGCGTGGACGACATGGTCAACTCCTTCTTCGACGCGCTCTTCCCGCCGGCCTACCGCCGCCTGCTGAGCCCCGGGGCGGGCGGCGGGGCGTCCGAGGAGTGCCTGCGGGCGGCAGGCCGGGGCGCCGGGGCGTTCGGGCCCTACCCGAAGCTCATCATGACCCGGATGTCCCGCTCTCTCCTGGCCACCCGCGTCTTCCTGCAGGCGCTCAACCTGGGCATCGAGGTCATCAACACCACCGACCACCTCAAGTTCGGCAAGGACTGCGCGCGCTCGCTGCTGAGGCTGTGGTACTGCCCCCACTGCCAGGGCCTGCTGGGGGCCAGGCCGTGCCAGGGCTACTGCCTGGCGGTGATGCAGGCCTGCCTGAGCCACGTGGCCGAGGTGCAGCCCCACTGGGAGGAGTACATCGAGGGGCTGGGGGCGCTGGCCGCCAGCATGCGGGGCGTCCACGACATGGAGAACGTGCTGCTCAAGCTGTACGCCCTGGTCCGCGACGCCGTGCTGCACAGCTACAGGAACCGGCTGCACCTGGCCGCCCTGGTGAGTGAGCGCCGCCCCCGCCGAGGCTCCCTGGCACACCCCGAGCACCCGCCACCTCAAACGTTTTGACACGCAGAAGAGCACGAGGCGCGCGTAGCGGCGCAGTGCAGCCGCGGACAGAAGGGTGAGGGAAATCGCGACGCAGGCAGGGCGAGACTGGTGCAGAGGAAATTGTGTGCTGGCCCCGGCAGAACGGAGGCGAGTCAGCAGAAACGCCCTGCATATTTGCCTTTTTAAGCTACTGAATAACCGTAAATATAGCCCATTCTTCTCTGGATCTCTTTCTAGAGTGGACTGAAAAATAAACGGTGAGGTTATTTGAAGCGCAGCGGAACTTGCCCGCTTACCCTTACAGGAGGCGAACGCGTTCTGAAACATGAGCCCCCTCCCCATCCTGGCTCTCACTTGGGCCGGTCCTTTTTGTTCATTTAACGCAGAAGGGTTTCTGAGCTTTTGAGGTTCAGTTGTTTTTTATCTTGCGTCACCTCCTGGAACGGCGCGCTGGTGGGCACAGAGAAACTCTTTGATTGAGAAAACGATTAAACAGAGGTTTCATTCCAGCAGTCCCTCCCGATCAAGGAATCTCCAGTCTGTGCATCTGTATACCAACGTGTGTGTGTGTGTGTGTGTGTGTGTGTATATACATACATGTGTCTTGTGAATTGGCTAAAAAATTTAATTTTATTTTAAAAGTGACACTTTCTTATTAAGTATTACAATTCCGGAGTTTTCCTAGTGGGAGAATGACTCTGTGTTGCCCATCCTTTCTCTGGGTCACTGAATAAGTGAGGATAAGACCACGCCTGAAGAAACACACTCAAGAGCAATACAGTGCTTCAGAAACAAGCCATAAATAGCTCACGGCGTTAGGTGTTCCCCGTGTAGTCTGATGCGCAAGCATGTTTGCATTGTTTCGTGGGTGAGGAAGTGGCCTACAAAAGCTGTCCAAAGCCGAGGAGGAGATTGTGTGCACAGAAACACGCTCCGCGGTGACACGGAGCTGTCTGGCAGGGGTCTCGCTGGTAGGAGACCTCGGAAACGAAGTGAGAAATAAATGGGACTTTTCTAAGAGGTGGCTGAAGGGGAAGCTCTCATGCTGTGTGTGTTTAATGGCCTGAGAGGGAAACGTGCGAATGCTGCGCCTCTCGCAATAAACTAAGGAGCACTGCTGGGCGACACCTCCCGTTGAGCTGCCCTGTCCCCCCAGCGCAGCGCATCACCCCAGATTCCCAGTTTAATCACAAACAAGGTCAGATTTTAGTGTGTAGGTGTTGTGCAGTATGCGTTTGTACGACCAATTTGTTGTCGGTCGGAGGGGACAAAATGTAGTGACAGCGGGCCCTGCTGGGGAGATGCAGTAGTGCAGGAGCACTGTTGAGATGAGATGAGATCACTTTATTGGTAGGATCTCCTCTGCCACCCGCGGGATACCAACCGGCAACCTTCCAGCCACAGCCTGAGCCACAGAGCCACCGCTCCGCCCTGCACACACCACACAACCCTTCTCACAACGAGCACAGGGAATCCCAGCGCTGACGCCCCTTCACCCGACCCAAAAAGGCAGCCTTGCGCTCAAAAGGAATTCCTTTATTCGTATTTCATGTAATACAAGTGGATCTTCCCAGCAACTTTTCCCGAAAAGCCCTCTGCTGTGCGTAGTGGGATGGGGTTTTGAATAGTGCCTTTTCTTGGGTGGAGGAGGGATGGCCACAGGACCGAGCTGGTCCTGACATCGTCCAGCGGAGCAGCATGTTAGATTCTTCTCCCTCCAAGTTCCTGTTTCTCCTTATCCCCCTGTAGCTGGTCCCCTGTGGAACTTGGCGCTGTAAATCACTCTTCTGCTTTGATTTGCTTGGCCTCTTAATCTCTGTCTCTTGCCCTGCCTCCTACATCGGATCCTTGCTCTTAATTATGTCCCTCTGCCCCTCTGTCTCCCTCCTGGTGTTTTCTAATAAAAAAGAACAAGTTTTTCAACTTTCATAAAAAAATAATAATTCTATACAGATATAAAGAGAGTGAGAGGGAAGACCTATCAGCAATGTCCAGGTAATTTTTTCTTCCTAAAGTCCGTGTGCACCTATCGTTCTCTCCACCACTTTTCCTTTCTGCGTTCGTCTCAGGCTCCAATCCTGCAAACTTCCTGTGTTTTTCCCTTCTCTCTCCCCCCCCTCCAAGGGATGCTGCATGATTTATGAAGCTCTATTTTTAACAGTTACTGTGCAGAGCAGAGAGAAGGAGTTTTAGAGTGGCCTCAAGGGGAGGAGGGGGGGGGGGAGGTTCGGACTGACTGCAGGCTGACAAGG